ACACCTTCTCCCGGGTTAACAGAATTCCTTATCCGGATTTTTGGTTTGCGGACTGTAATACAGAGTCATTCTTTTCCTCGATTCGGGATTAAAACCGGTGACTTGGGACACCATAAATCTCCCAAGTGGCGACTCTAATCCTTAAATAATAAATCCCGTTTCGATTGTCCCTTGATTGGAAAAACTCCCTTCCGCGCCCCTTTGCGGGGGCGCGGGCGAAAAAGGAGGTGTGACAATAATGTTGCGGCGTGCAACCCGATCAAATATAATATTTGTTGCGGCGTGCAACCCGATCAAATATAATATTTGTTGCGGCGTGCAACCCGATCCATTATAATATTTGTTGCGGCGTGCAACCCGATCCATATATAATAATGTTGCAGCGCGCAACCCATTCCAAATATACATTCAACAATAATCATAACCATAGTCCCGGCAAGGGATCAATAACGAACTACTCTATCCCGGCAAGGGAATCGACAACATAAATAAATACGTCCCGTCCTAGGAGAAACAGCAATAACCAATCTTAATCCAACATCTGACCATTTCAGCTATCACCAATACTCAAACTTCGTAATTCCCACGAAAACAAACTTATTCCTTGCTCACTTTCGAGAGTCATCAATTAAAGCGTCCGTAATATCATTTAAGAACACAACGAGTTGCAATTTAAGATGTACGGTCATACTCGGCACCAATGTATAGATACTCATCACCATACCTATACGTCGTTCTCAACAAGACGCAAATAGCAAATAGGACACAACTCCTAATCCCTCAAGCTAAGGTTAGACCAAACACTTACCTCGATGGTAATGAACACAACTCAAGTTTCAATTATTGTTTTACCCCTCGATTCCACTACCAATTCGCTCGTATCTAGTCACAAGTTACTTAATTACATCAATAAAAGCTAAGAGAATCAATTTGAATGAATGAAAATGAATTTCCCAAAGTTTTACCCAAAAAGTCAAATATCGCCCCCGGGCCCACATGGTCAAAATTCGGAGGTTCGAACCAAAACCCGATTACCGATTCCCCCATGAACCCAAATATATGATTTGTTTTGAAATCGGACCTCAAATCGAGGTCCAAATCCCCAATTTTTAAAAAACCTAGGTTCTACCTAAAACACCCAATTTCCCCTATGAAAATCATTGATTTTGAGTTGAAATCATGTGAAAAGATATTAATGATTGAAGGAAATGAGTTAAAATTAACTTACAATCGATGTGGAAGAAGAGTTGTTCTTGGAAAATCGCCCAAAGGAGTTTGTGTTTTAAAAAGATGTGAAAATTGGTTTAAAATCGTCTAAGTATAAAGTTGCAGGTCGCAGGTATGGGAAATGCGAAAGCGAACCCCGACCTCTGCTAACTTGGGAATTGCGGAACAAGGTTCGTATTATCGAACCCTTCAGAAATGCTGAACTTTCGCATTTGCGATACATAGGTCGCATTTGCGATCACTGGCCCATTGACAAATCTTCGCATTTGCGAAGAAAATCTTGCATTTGCGAGCCAGGTGCGAAGCCTGCGGTCCTGGGCACACCAGCTAAAATTCTGCAATTTTTCTAAGTTCTGAATGCACCCCGTGGCCTATCCAAAACTCACCTGAGCCCTCGGGGCACCAAACCAAATATACACACAACCTCAAAAACATCCCACGAACTTATTCGTGTGCTCATATCACCAAAATAACATCAGAAACAACGAATTAAACCTCAATATCAATGAAATTTATCAAAACTTCTTAAACATCATATTTTGCATTTAAGGTCTGAATCACGTCAAATGGATTCCGTTTCTTACCAGACTTCACAGAATCATCTTAAATCATATATAAGACCCGTACCGGGTGCCGGAACCAAAATACGGGCCCGATACCAATATGTTCTAATTAAAATTCATTTCCAAACTATAAACAATTTCAGAAAATAATTTTCTTCAAAAATTCATTTCTCGGGCTTGGGACCTCAGAATTCGATTTCGGGCATACGCTCAAGTCTTATATTTTCCTACGGACCCTCCGGGACCGTCAATCATGGGTCCGGGTCCGTTTACCCAAAACATTGACCGAAATCAAATTAATTTATTTTATAGTCAAAATTTATCATTTTTCACAAATTTTCGCATATAGGCTTTCAGGCTACGCGCTCGGACTGCGCACGTAAATCAAGGTGATGCTAGAAGAGATTTTTAAGACCTCAAAACGTAGAATTTCATTTTAAAATAAGTGATGACCTCTTGGGTCATCAAAAACGTCATTAAATAGGACACTGTTACACTACCTAAAACCCAAGGCGGCCTTGGAATTCAAAACCTCCCCACCAAGAATATAGCACTCCTAGCTAATCTAGCATAGAGACTTTTTAAGGATCCATCCTCTTTTTGGGCATCCATACTCCTAACCACTAGTCTTATTTCTAAAAATACCTCATTCATTTGGGAAAACATCCAACATGGCTGGCACCATTGCCAATTAGGGGCTAAATGGGTAGTCTCATTGGGCGATCATATTAACTTCTGGGATGATAATTGGATTGACCATTAGACCTCACTTAGATCACAACTTGCAAGCCCCCTACCACTTCAAGAGTCTCAGCGGAAGGTTAGTTACTATATCCACGACAATAATTGGGATCTACCCAATTTACCATTTCAGCTTCCCCGGACCCTACTTCTTAAAATACTCAGTATTTACCTACCTCAATACCCTACTCATCCTGATTACCTTATATGGAATCTCACCCCATCGAGGCAATTTACCGTCCAATCTTGCTATCATGCTTTAATACCCCATACACCTCCTTCAAGCAATACCTGGATTTGGAAACTACCCACACCTCCAAAAATCAGGTACTTCCTTTGGATCTGTAGCCACAACAAACTCCCCACAAATGCATATTTAGCTCACCTAAACATTATCACTAATCCCCTATGCTTCTACTGTTTTAGAGGCAAGGAGACTATCACACATATCCTCTTCGAATGCACTGCCTCCACCTCCTTATAGGCACACCTAGGTCTTACCTCCCTTATAACCTCTCTTAAAGACACTAACATTCCTCTAATGCAGCTAATCAAAATGTTGATCGCTCAATACACACACCACACCCCTTACAACATTACTCCACCTACATTAATTCCCTACTGTTTATGGGGTATCTGGATCCAAAGAAATCATAATATTTTCAACCATAAACATAACCTAGTGCCCTTTCATCAAATAATTACTCGAGCCGCGGAATATCAATTCCTTACATCACCAAAACACAAGTTCAAATCCTACACTCCCCTTTATATCAAATGGCAACCTCCAAACCAACACCACTACCAATTAAACACTGATGCTAGGTCTCCAGGTTTTAATGGCATAGGGGGTGTCATCCATTCACCTGAAGGGGATTGGCTTTTGGGATTTGCAAAGCACATAGAGTTTGGTAATAGTATACAAATGGAATTACTTGCCTTACTCCATGGATTACGCATAGCCCTACAACATGGATACCTCCCATTGGAAATCAACATAGATGCTGAGGAGGTAATCACTTTGCTTCAATCTGACAACCCTCACTATACTAATTTGCTCACTGATTGCAGGTTGCTGCTCAAGCAGCTGGATGATCCACTTATGCAACATGTTTACAGAGAGGCAAATATGGTAGCTGATGGATTAGCATACTATGGCATGCAACTAGCAAGCAGTGATGGCTTGCAAGTTTCTGTACACCACCATCTTTTGTCCACCATCTTTTCCATGCAGACAGAGAAAGGGCAGTACGCAGGAGACTTGTCAACCCTTGCATTTTTGAAAACCATGTTACCCCAAATGTAAATCCATGCACAAGCATGCTCCCAGTTCCCCTATTTAGTAACCACCCAGCTAGTAGTTGTATTGATCCTTCCATGAATCCTAGTAATCAACTAGATAATAGACTAAGTAATGATCCACCTGTGGATCATGGTAGTACTGTAGCTAATAGTTTAAAGGTTGATCCACCTATGGATCATAGGTTAATAGTAACTAATAGTGTACCATCAGCTAACACTAGTGCCACGAGCACATTGTCCTCTGTAACTCTTTAATAGTAGTAATGAAGTAATCTTTTAAGGACAAAAAAAAACCTTGGTATATTATATCTTTCAACTAACTTCTCTCCATCAAAGTAAAGAATTACCACCTTTTGATTTATAGAATGAATATTGAATGAGAGGTCACGGGTTCGAGCCATGAAAACAACCTCTTACAGAAATGTAGGGTAAGGCTGCGTACGATAGACTCTTGTGGTTCGCCTCTTCCCCGGACCCCGTGCATAGCGGGAACTTAGTGCACCGAGTTACCCTTTAATGAGAGTAAGTAAAGCGCATAAACGGATCTCTCTAGCATGATTTAGTAATTAAAACTCTTGTGCGCTTTTCAACAGCTCCATTCAATATAAAGCCTTGACTATAAGTGTTATTAATTGATTTGCCTTTAGTTTTCTAGTTGTGTTTACACTTGACTAAATCTAAAAATCAAAGACAAGTTTACCAAGACAAATTACGGTATAAATGGGGCGGTTAACTTGTGTATACTAAAGATGCACTTTTCACAAAACTCGACTGTTTTATGATTATTTTGTTCAGCTAACTATAAATCGGCTGCTGCATGGCATGAGGAAAAAGTTCAATCGGTTGGTAAACGACGTAGAAATTTCGGGCTCACGGATTTAATTATGTCATTATGTCGTTACTGATCTTTGATGTTTTCTTCTTTCAACTTTTGACCATGCAAAATTATTTCAAATATTTAACAGTCAAACGTATAATAATTACTCCATCGTGTTAAAAGAATCAGAGTTCGCAGGATAAGAGCCAAAATTATAGATGCAATTAAAGGGATGTATCATACACTAGATAGTGACAGCCCGTGCCAGCATATAGAAGCTGAAACTTTTATTTTTTATCAAACTTTGATTTGATATAAAACTACAGATAACAAAAGTCGAGGCATTTAGGTAACTATCAAATCAAATAATAATACTAACTGATCAACATCCATATAGAAACAAAATATCCATTCTCAGATGTTGCATAGTTGCAAGAAGACACATTCTTTACATTGATACAGATAAAATGTGATGCATTCATAATGCTATAATGAACCTTCTCTGCAGTCTTTGACAAAAGATAACGATAAAATGTGATGCATTCATAATGCATAATGAGTCTTCTCTGCAGTCTTTGACAAAAGACAACGGCAATGTAGGCACCAGTAAAAGCAATAAATAATGATCAAGTGCCAATCACCGTCTAACATGACAATACCAATTTATACCCATGCAAGTACTTATACTCAATACCTTCAATGTATACATAAAAAGCTCTCTTCTTGCAAAAAGGTCACAGGTTCTGCAAATAGCTTAAACCNGAGAGGTGTCAAATTCTTTTGTGTTAAAAGATTGGCTTGTGTCGTACTCTTTTATAAGAGGTAGACGCAAGGAATGAAATTATCAAATTAAAAATTAGGAATATTGCCCCAAATAAACTAATTTCAATAAAGCAAATAAACACGGGGATAACAAATAAATTTATTGAGAGTTCACAATGCGATGAAAGCTGAGACGTTAATAAGACAAATGCTTTGTTGTTGCAATTTCCGCCCATGCATAAAAGCAATAAGCACATCTTCTGAAACTTAAAATTAAAGCTACTAGTAGGTTACCAAAAGAAGAAACCATTATTCATATTGAATTAAGAAAATGAGCAAACTTCATAACAAAAAAAAAAAGAGCAATTGTTCTGTAAAAAAAAAAGAATTTTTATCTCAGAACATTTAATCTATTTCTACCACACTACTAAGAAAAAGAATTAGCATAGAGCCTTAGTATATTTGGAGCAACTCAGAAAATTTGTCACGTCGACTTCGGAATTGGTAGCTACTATTAGTAAGTAGTGAGACAGAGAAGATAACTTTGGTTCATTAAGTAAATTAACACACCCTTAACGTTTTAGCAAAATCGCAACTTTAAGTCGTCCCTTGATTACCTTGACTTCAAAACCCAGTACATCTCAACTGATGGAATTGCTAGTTGATTGTATCATCACAAAGTTGTATCGCAAATATATTATTAGCAAGAAAAACAGAGCTAAAGCGTAAATTGACCTATATTGCACTATTATTCACCTAAGTATATTATTACACTTCAAGTAATACTATCATACCATGGACTAGGGGTGTACATAGGTCGGGTTGGTTCAGATTTTATAATTATCAAACCAAACCAATTGTGTCGGGTTATTAAATCTAAAGACCAAACCAAACCAATAAAACTCGGATTTTTCACTCTCGGTTTTTCTCGGGTTTTCTCGAATTTTCGGGTTATTCGGGATTTTTCCGGTAAAATCTTCGTAGAACAAAACATATAAATTGTGCTCAAAATATTTCTTTAGTCTTAGTAAGATACAACTATATAAAGTATTTTCCAAGAAAATAATACAAAATATGAGATATGACATGGCATTATCCTAAAATATTCAACAATAAAGACAATAAAATTATGTAATATAAATATTGCTAATTAAAAAGTCATAATAAAATTAATATAATCTAAAAGTATTAATAGCCTGTTTGGCCAAGCTTCTTTTTGGCCAAAAGTATTTTTTTTTGGGCCAAAAGCACTTTTAGCCAAAAATTGAGGTGTTTGGCCAAGCTTTTGGAAGGAAAAAAAAGTGTTTTTGAGGAGAAGCAGAAGCAGTTTTGGAGAAGCAGAAAAAAGTAATTTCTAGCACTTTTTTTATAAGCACTTTTGAGAAAAATACACTTAGAAGCGATTTTTTAAAGCTTGGTCAAACACTAATTGCTGCTCAGAAGTGCTTTTCAAACTAATTAGTCAAACACAAACTGCTTTTCACCAAAAGTACTTTTAAGAAAAGCACTTTTGAAAAAAAAAGCACTACTCAAAATAAGCTGATTTTTGCAGCTTGGCCAAACAGGCTATAAGTCATTCTAAAATAAGTAGACTAATAAGGAAGTATTAATTACATGACTAAACGCTAAAGAAAAAATAAAAATAGGTTATACATTTTTATCTAAATTATTGCAAAACAAAAAAAAAATTATTCAATACATTCCCTAGTATTGAATTGAATGTCTTTTGTTAGTATTACTATTGATTTGATTTTGGTTTGAGCTTTTGTTAGCACTATTTAATTTACTAATATTAATGGCTATAAAACTTATTGGAACATTCAAAAGTTCTAAGTTCAACCTTGAAATAATACCTCAAAAGATAAAATTATGAAATCTTTTAAGATATATTTATAAATTACATCACAATAAGTATATTTATATATTAAATATATCTAAAATTTATATATATGTAATGTCGGGTTGGTTTGGTTCGATTTGACTTTCTACAGTTAAAACCAAACCAAACCAATTATGGTCGGGTTTTTTTTCCAATACCAAACCAAATCAAACCAAACCATAGCCGGATTGTTTTCTCGATTTGACTCGAATTATCGGGTTAGTGCGGTTTGTCGGTTTCGTTTGTACACCCCTAGCATGGACATATGTTTTACACTTTAACTTGAAAAGAAACTAAATTTTGTTGAGGAGCTTTAGCGGATAGGAGACACAATCATCGCCCACAAATACACAGTGACAGACATCCTATCAAGCTGCCTATACACCTCGTTTTATCAGATAGGTTTTTAAGTTTCCTATTCACTTAATCAATAGATTAAAAAAAGAAAATATCAGGTCGATAATATTTATTTTTTGAAAAAAACTACAAATTTATAAAAGAAATCTAATACAAACGCTCCTGGCCAAAAAGCAACGATGATATTTGTACTTCGAAAAAGAATCGCATGCTAATATTTCCAAACGCATATAAACAAATAAAAAGAATTTTATCCAATAAGCCGCAAGCGACTGCTTTTAAGAAAATATATATAGCCTGGTATGTAAAGGCAACAAAAAACAAAAAAAAAAAAAAAAAAAAAACAGGTTGAACTCACCGCAAGCGAGAACCAAAAAGCCTTAGACCCCATCCTCAATTTCCCGTTCAAGTATTTAACAGATAAATTGGTGATGAGCAAAGGAGATTAGAATAGAGTTGGTTCGAGCTCCAGGAAGAAGAGGAGGTTGAAGGAACCGAACAACAGAAGAGGAAGATAACAAAATAACCTTGCAATTCCTTTTAGCTATTGCCAAGTCGCGCACTTGATCCTCTCTCAATCTAGATGACAGATAGAATTTTCAGAGGAAGGATCGAGAAGTTTGATTAGCAAGAGGGAATAAGATGGGAAACGTGGCAACTTTCCGGAAGACACGTCTCACAGGAGTGTAGTAAAAGTCGATATTACCCTTAATTTTAATCTTATTGACAAGAAGCAGCCGGGTCGAAACCTGCCTCTTCTATAATACTAGTATACTTACCCGCGCGAGGTGCGCGAATCGTTTTAAACAAAAAATAGCATAGAAAAATATTAAAAAGAGAGATATATATTGCAGACTATATTTAACGCCTGCAATAAAAAAAATTAAACGAAAAGAAATATAAGTGAATTCTATCGGACTATATCTATGAATTTGTTGTTAGGGACCACCAATCCCCAAAAGCTATTTTAACATACTTGAGAAATGATACATCAATATTTCGCTTTAAAAGAATTAGTCCACATGAAAATGCATAAACTTTTGACAAACATAAAGGACATCACATTTGGTTAAAATCTTATTTCAGGTACTGTCTCGAACGAAGGTTCATATGGGTGCACCAACCTGCACAAAAGAAGAATTACCGAATAATTTTGTCTCATCGACATCATGTTGATTTGTTAGTTGGTCAAAAGGACGCAAGTTAAAGATGTTCATATGAAATGAAGGATCGGGTGTTTCCTCAATAAATGTCTTTTGTGTAAATATCAGCCTCAGGTTGTGTGTCGTAGTCCTCAACTTCAAATTATTTGGTCCGACAACAAAGTACCTCATACGATATAAGCGAAGTTCATGTATCTTGTTCCTAAAAAACTTAACAACATACTTTCCGATTGAAGCATGTATACGATCACCCTACAAAATCATATTCCTTATTAGTGCAGAATTATGAAGCCAACATTAAGAGACAGAAGATGAATACCTGTAGTACACATATTTCATATATAGGCGTAATTTATGTATGTTCATCCGATGATAGTCTAAGCAAGGCATCTAATATGTAATATATATGCCAGTTTTTTATATTTTGAACAAAATAGATGTTATTAAGTACAAAACTGCAATATAGGTGAGTTTTACATGCATATATTATGACAATCACTGCCTAAAGTTTTCCTCAATGTTTGAAGTCAAAAAACAGAATGCTACAGTTTCCTCTATTTCAGTTAAAGAACACTTTTGGTTGGAAGTGGAATTATTGAAGGAACTTCTTAGACAGTTGAGTAATCCAGAAGAAAAAATATTGATTGTGAAGCCAATATTAAGAGACAGAAAGATGAATACTTGTACTAAACATATTTCATATATAGGTAGAATTTCTATATGTTCATCAGATGATAGTCTAAGCAAGGCAACCAATATGTAATAGCTGCCAGTTTTTTATATTTTGAACAAAGTAGATGTTATTAAGTACAGAACTGCAATATAGGTGAATTTTATATGTATCCATTATGACAATCACATCCTAAAGTTTTGTTCAATGTTTGAAGTCAACAAAACAGAGTGCTAGCGTGCTTCCATTTCAGTTAAAGAACTCTTTCTCGGATTGATTTGATTATCTGTGATTTGAGTTTCAACTGATTTTTCTAAGTAATCAGATTTGTGGTGATATAACTGATACATGCTTTCACCGTTCACTGATATGCATAAAGTAAATAAAAGAATGAGGGAAAAATAATATGTTACCTTCGAATCCTGTAAAACCAATTCAATTGAAAGCGGTATTTCCGGCTTAAATTGATCCGGAATTACCCACATTCGAACGACTCTAACTTTGAGATTCCATTGCATCAAATTTCCTGAAATTTGTTTGATATCATGAAGTTGTGTAGCCATAGTTGCAAAGCAATTTTAATCAGACTGAGTAGATAAAATAGGAAGTTGAAAAGGATTCAAAAATATAAAGCGCATAAATCAATCAGTTATGGAGATGTAGATAGAATAAGGAGTTTTGGTTGGAAGCCCACGTTTGGGAGCACAATCAGTCGTGGGTTTTTAACTGACTGCTTTCCTGCATTTTTTCTCAGTCGTGGGCAGTTGCTGATTAAAAAACAAAAACCAAGAAAGTGTGAGATTTTTTTTTTTTATAAAAGCCAACCAAAAAAGGGGAGGAATTCTATTTTTAATAGGTAAGTGTAATAATAAATAATAAATAATAAATAAATGAATAGAATAACTCCAAAAACTCAATTGTGGGAGGATTGAAAGTTCTTGAAATTTACTAAATGTAAGTTTATTTATCTGATTTGTAGTTTGTTGCTGATTAAAAAACAAAAACTAAGAAATTGTGAGGATTTTATTTTTTTTATAAAAAGCAAATCAAAAAAGGAGAGGAGTTCTATTTTTAATAGGTAAGTGTAATAATAAATAATAAATAAATGAATAGAATAACTCCAAAAACTCAATCGTGGGAGGATTGAAAGTTTTTGAAATTTGATGAAAGTAAGTTTATTTATCTGATTTGTAGGTTGAATTTGAAGCTCTAAGAATATTTGAGAGTTGTCCTAATTTTTGATAGTGTTAGAATTGTGGGTATTTCACTTGGCAGCCTAACCTTGTTTTGCTTTTGTTATTCTATATAGATAGATAGTCATAGTCATTCAGTAGAATTGGCGTGGGATAGCCACTTTTTAAAGTGGTATTTATTTTTTATCCAGCGTTTTTAATGCTGAGCAAAAGTAGCCACTACTCTATTAAAATTAATATAAAAAGACAAAGTTACCCTTTCTTCTATCTCTTTTCCATCCCAAACCCTCTATCAAAATTTCAAAACTCTTTCTCCTAATCAAAATTTGCCAAACTCGTTACTTCTCTTTCCCATGCAGTAAGTTCTTCCCCAACTTCATCCCACTTCCTAAACCCAAAGGCATACCACTTCCTCGGCGTTGCAGACCACTTCTCCAACTTTATTTATTTTTCTTTTTCTTTTGGTTGGTTAGGTTCTTGTTGTCTTTTAGGCTTCAGGTTTTAATTAATCTGATAGTTATTATATGTTATATGTCGTGGTTTTCACTGTACTCTTTCCATTTAGTTGATAGGACCCTTTACCATTTTATGAAATTGAATTTTGATTGGAAAACTGAGAGATCTAAATTTTCAAAACAAAAAAATTCAAAAAAAGCTATTTCTTTTAGTTATTAGCTTTCTGTTGTGTAATTTGACATCAATCTTATATGTAAATTGCAATTATTATTATTTTTATTTGTGAAAAGATACAAATAACGTTTGATTTTCTGCTACGTTATGGATCCTGAACTTGCAGTTACAAGTTCAAAAGTTAAGGACATTTGGTCCTGAATTTCGAGTTCCAAGTTCAAAAGTTAAGGACACTTGGTCCTGAATTTAGAATTACAAGTTCAAAAGTTAAGGACACTTGGTCCTGAATTTAGAATTACAAGTTCAAAAGTTAAGGACATTTGGTCCTGAACTTAGACTAATAAGCTCAAAAGTTAAGGACAATAGGTCCTGAACTTAAGCTAAGAAACCCAAAAGTTAAGGACAATAGGTCCTGAACTTAGACTAACAAGCTCAAAAGTTAAGGACACTTGGTCCTAAACTTACAGTTATAAGTTCAAAAGTTAAGGACATATAGTCCTGAAGTCCTGATCTTAGAGTTCCAAGTTCAAAAGTTAAGGACATGTAGTCCTGAAGTCCTAAACTTAGAGTTAAAAGTTCAAAAGTTAAGGACATGTAGTCCTGAAGTTAAGTTCAAAAGTTAAGGATATGAGCATAAGGGTATTTTCGTCCGGGCAGTTAAAGTTTATTAAAGCAGTGGCTAAAGACTAAAGATATTTAAAACAGTGACTTAAAAATAAATACATGTGTTATTAGTGGCTAACCGTGCACTTCCCCCGTCATTTCATATATAGGTATAGGCAGGAACTGTACAAAACATGTATAGAGCGCTTACATTTTATTACAAAATTGAACACATTTTAAGTATGCCGACTCATCTAAAATATATTCACATTGCATCAATTCTATCACTCTATCCAAAATTACATTCTATGATTCCTTCAGTCTGAGTAAGAGGAGTTGCAATGTGAAGATTGGTATGTAACAAATGAAACAAGAAAAAGAAGACATAGTGAGTAGGCGGCGAGAGTAAGTGGAGAATTTCTAGAGAAAAATAACAATCAGGCTGAAAAATGTGGCCTAGTCCACCCTGGGGTGTTAGTTAATTCCTGGCTCATTAGTTGATCCTCCACCAAAATCCTAATTGATTGCCTATGAAAACTATTATGAATGTTGAAAAATATGCTTTTTGTCATTGAGTGAAAAGTGGCTAGGGCATTTCGAGAAGAAACTTGATAACAAAGATATGATAACAGAGAATACCCTTAACATCAAGGATCTAGGAGGAACATGCGGAGCATACAATATATAGTTAAAATGCACGACTCACTGAACGAGATACATAAGTTCAGTAGAGTAAATCGCGATATATATTGAAGAGGCGGGTAGGGGGAGGGAGGAGAACGAAAAAGAAAGGTTTGATATTTCAAACTCTTGAGATGAGAAATTTTATGCTTGGTTGAAATTGTAAATAATTTTTATAAAACGTTATCTGAAGTTATGAAGCGGATAGGATATAACATTTTATAAAGTTATTAAATTTTTAGAGTGAGTCTTCCCTGTAAATTTTCCTAAAGTAATTAGCTATTGGTATGTAATTGACTTATACAGCGGTGGGTTAAAGAGGTGAGATACAACCGGAGTAATTTGATTTGACCTCTTTTTTTCTTTATCAAATTCATCATTCCCACTTTTTGATGAAGAACGTTAAGAAGGTACAAATAGCTAAAACTGATTAAAACGATCGACTAATAAGATACATCAAACAGAAATTAATCCTAAATCAGCATTCCAGCTCTAAGGAAGAAGGTCTATGGCTTTGCCTTCCAACTCTACAAATTCGTCTTTCATTTCTGTAGATTCCCTTTTATAGATATACCTTTTAGATGCCCACAAAAATGCTCCTAAATTTAAGGTAGACATGACCAAGAGGAAACCATAGTAATAATCCAAGTGCGAGTCATTCATATTGTTTCCAATCCAACTCTTCCCTCTATTACTCCCAGTAATTTTATCCACCATCGTCACCAAAAAGCTATTCAAGAAATTTCCAAGGCCAATCCCACTTGTGAAAAACGTCGTACCAAGGCTTTGCATATCTTCTGGTGATTGATCATAGAAAAATTCCAGCAATCCTATGGCATTAAACACATCCGCCACGCCCAATAGCACGTACTGAGGCAATAAACAGAATATTGTCATAGGGACTATTTCTTTAGGCCCGTTGATGTGGTGCATTTTTATGACTTGCATTCTTCTCACTTCCATAGCATAAGCAATCGCGATGGCTACAATTTGGATAAGGAAACCTGTTCCTAGCCTCTGGAGTAATGTGATTCCCCTAGGATTTCCTGTTTTCTTGCGCATAAAAGGCACGAAATATCGGTCGTACATGGGCACGGACAATAACATAGTGAGAGTCACAAAGCTTCCCAATGATGCTGCGGGAATCTGAAATCTTGAACCCAAGTGTCTGTCCAAGGTGGTGCCCTGTTTGACAAAAAGAGTGTTTATTTGTGCCCAAATGGTGCTAGGGATTAGGGTTACTAGCCATATCATGGCCATTCCCATAATTAGCTTGGCTCCTTCGACCTGAGTCACCGTGCATGGTGGTCTTGAGCCTGTTGAAGTGTCTCGTTTGACTGCAGCCTTGTCCAAGAACCTGAAAAAAGAAAGTTTGGTTGATTCTGGAATGTTTATTTCAAATATATTTGATCAAACAATTGAACAATTCATAGTTAGGTGGGCATTATTAACAAAGCAAATAATATAATTTGGTAGATGCTTCAAAATGCTCTGATCGATTTGAGACTTTCTTTTATGATTCGGGATTATAGTTTTAACTGTCATCAAGTATAAGCAGTGGGGGCAGATATAGAAGCCCAGATATCGATTCGGCCAAATCAATGTGTTTTGCTCAAGTATCGTATTTGTATTAAGAAATTTATTAAATATGTTCGCATAAAATTTAAAATCCGGTCATTAGCCCTTGAAATTGAAATTCAAAACTGATAAAGTTGAAATTCTAACTCTTCTCAAAATATAAGTTGATATACTAGTCAAATTATAATAGCTCTCAATCGATCGATGAATCGACGAGAGTCCAAGTGCAATTATGTTGTAGGGTTTTAAGATAGTATGAAGCATAAAATGTGGTGGGCTTTATTTGAGGTCCCTCATTTATCCTTGGTAGATTAGATTCTTCTGGGAGTAGTCATAGTGATTAAATTGGTAGGGCGCACAACAGAAAGCAACCATTATTTGGAGGATCCAGTACAGTAGAGCAGTGTAAATGATCACGTGGCAAGTACTGAATCGACGCATTCTAACGAATGAAAACATGGAACGAGACATCAACATTTTGCCATTTGGAGATACCTTAGTTGTGGATAAATTGGGAGGTCCCCCTACTTCCTTCTGCCCTTAGTTTCTCAAATTTAAAGGATAAGAATCTTTTCATTGAGCCTCGAAGCAATGGTAAAATTGTCTCTGTGTGACCTATAGGTCACGAGTTCGAGCCCTGGAATCAGTCACTGATGCAAGCATCAGGGTAGACTGCCTGCATCAAATCCCTTGGGTGCAGCCCGTCCCCGGACCCTGCGTGAATGCGAAATGCTTTGTGCATCGGGCTGCACTTTTACTACTAAATAAAGCGTTAAAGATTTTCAATTATAAAAACTATAAATGCTTACCTGAATACTGGAGTGTGATGGACTTGGCGTTTTCCAGTACTGAAATAGTATTGCATATCAAATTCATGAAGCTCAGACGGGTCATTAGGGAGCTCAATTTTCCTGTTGGCAAATGCGACGATAGGAACACGAAATAGGTCCCGAGCAGGATACTGA